AATTCCCAGCACCCACATGGTGACTAACAACCATCCATAACTCCAGTTCCAAAGGATCCGAAGCTCCCTTCTGACCTCCATGGGCGTTGCACAGCATGGGTGCACTTACATACGTATCAGCAATACACTCATACGCATAAAATAAAAATAATTTTTTTTAAAACCCACAAAAGGGGCTGGAGAGATGGCTCAGCAGTTAAGAACACTGGTTGTTCTTGCAGAAGACCCAGGTTCAAATCCCAGCACCCACATGGCAGATAACAACTGTCCATAACTCCAGTTCCAGGGGCTCCGACAGCCTCTTCTGACCTCACAGGCGTTGCATGACACAGGTGCACTTACCTACATGCAGGAAATACACACATACACATAAAATAAAAATAATAAATATAATTTTTTAATAACCCACGGAAGTATACTCATTTGATACATATATATTGAATAGTGATGTACGAAAATATGAGTTATCTAATCTATAATAATCTATAATAAGCCAGTGAAGTTTCTTGTAAGTTAGATCATTATATTTTTGTTTGAAAAAAAAACTTCATATGTACAGTAAAAGCAGTTCCATTCATAATACCCAGCTAGTCTAGAGCTGAACTGAGGTGTTCCAGAAGCCTTCATTGATAAGTGCGATGTGTTCGTGTGTCATGCAAAGCATGCATGTTTGTTCAGAGCCAAGCTGCAATATAGTGGTGCAGTGCAGCATAGGTGAGCACTGTCAGAAACACCTCTGATTCATTGCATGTATGATTGTGGGTTGATTTTTGTTGCTTGTGCTTTCAGAAATCTTTTACTGTTACCAAATTTGTTAACTCGTGCTTTTAAGAAGCTGTGCCATGCTTGATATATATAAATCCTGTGTTTGTTTTTCTTTAGTCAAGTTTCAAAGAAACATTCATGTGTGAATTTTTCAAGATGTTTCAAGAAGAAGGATACATTACAGCAGTTAAGAAGGTATGGTTGATTTATTTTGGAAATAGGAAGCTTTCTTGTCATAAGCCTGAAGGAAATAGCATTTCATATTCTTCACAGGAGTGTCTAGTTCAAAACATAATGTTTAACTGTCCATCAAAAGGTTCTCCTTTTCTTCCATACTCCTGTCAGATAAAACTGTGAGTTTTTCAACAATAAAAGAAAAATCCAAACAGATTTTAACAACTTCTACTACCACTGTCTTAACTGTATAAATTATAGAGTTAAGGTTTCTCAACAGCAACACTGTTGACATTTGGGACTAGATAATTTTTTATCTTCAGGGGCCGGCTGTTTATTGTCAGATATTTAGCAGCATCCCTGAATTAGCTATCAATAGTACATCTCCAGCTTTGAAAACCAGAAGTACTTCTAGACATTGCCAGATGTCCACCAGATGACACCATTATCTTTTGTTGAGAACCCTTAGTCTATGGGTAAAGCCTGATAGAGTGCTTGTTTGCTTAGTTGCCATAAAGCAGATCAAGGCCCTTGCCTCCAACCCTGACAACCTGAGTTCAATCCCTGGGATCCACATAGTGGAAGGAGGAAACCAATTCCCACAAGCTTCCTCTGACCTCCACACATATGACATAACATGACATGCACACATGAATGCACACATATTTAAAAAATAAAAATGTAGCACTCGGGAGGCAGAAGCAGGTGGATCTCTGTGAGTTCAAAGCCAGCCTGGTCTACATAGTGTTCCAGGACAGCTGGGGCTACAGGGAGACCCTCTCTCAAAAAGACCAAAAAATAAATAAATAAATAAAAATAATTAAAATGTAAAAGAAATTGAGTGTTTATAGTAGAAACTAGAGGAAAGTTCCTAAAAATTAAAGTATACAAATGCCCACAGTGTATATTATACAGTGTAAGACCATTTTTTTGTAAGACCTACAGCATACAAAAATGAGTATACTTAGAAGCTGAGAATATTTTTGGAAAAAAAATCTGTAGTTTCTTGGTCCTTGACTCCTGAATCAGCTAAGAAAAGTGCAGTATTATTATCAACATGGAAAATTAGGAAAGGAAAAAAAATTTAAGACTTTATTTACTTTCTTTTGTGTGTGTGTTTTGCCTGCATGTAAGTACACCACATGCATGCAGTGCCTTTAGAGGCCAGAAGACTTTGGATCCCCTGGAACTGGATTTATAGACAGCTGCTAGCCTCTATTTGGGTACCCTAAGAGACAGATGAAGAAATGTGATATCTCCTATAACTATTACATCCTATTAGTAATAGGGCTCTGGGTTTTTTTGTTTTGTTTTGTTTTTTGTTTTGTTTTGTTTTTTTCTAAAGACAGGGTCTCACTGTAGCCCTGACTGTCCTGGAACACACAGAGATCTGCTTTCCTCTGCCTCCCAAATGTTGGAATTAAAGGTGTGCATCACTATGCCTGGCCCATAGACACTTCTTTGATTTCCTTGAATACTTACTCTGCATCACCCACAAACAGTACAAAAGGAATTCTTTTCTTGTTTGTTCTGTTACCAAGATTTCCTTCCAGCAAACTAGAAGAAATATTCACTGGAATATGTGCTCTAGTAGGTGAGCTATAGCATTCTTAGGAGAAAGTGGCTGTGCCTTCAAATTCTACAGATGAGCCACTGGGACCTCAGTGTTCCTACAGGAATATATTCTTGTTTTGTTTATATCCTAAACAAAATAAACTTAGAAACATAAAAGAGGAAAAAGCAAGGAAATTCAAAAATTGGAGTTTGTAATATCCAACTAATAAGTGGATAGTTACTTTAGGAGGCAAAATAGGATTCCTCTCTAAGAACAAGAATTGCTTTTTGATCTGCTAAATTTCCCTTTCCATAAAGAAGCATATCCGTGCTGGGAAGCTCTGGACTATGTCAAATAGCCTGTTGATGAAATTAAATGCTTTTCACTGGGGACTTCCTGTGCTAGCCTCATTCTCATACTCTCTACAGGAAGTTTTTAAGTGCTCGTTTGAGTTTCAGGCTCTCTCACAGAACCCAGTTATACTTCAGTCATCACTGAAATGTCATTTGTCAAAGCTATTGTCAGTTACATGTAATAGAAATCAACAGGCTCTTTTCTGACTAGCCAATAGAAAATATATTGGGCTTTGCTGGTAGGTAAGGCCTCTACCACATTTTCTTTTTCTGTTTTACAATCCTTTCAAAATATAACAACTCCTGAGCCTTATAAAAACAGACTGCTGATCAAATTTGGCTCAGCCCGTAGATAGATGTTCTTTGACCTATGAAAAAGGTTCACAGTGCTATCTGTAAAAATCTTTGCAGAGTTTCAAAAGGTTATGGGGACATACTACATGAAACATCTCCTGTGGTAACATGTATGTAACCAAACACATTCATGTTTATGTATCAAATGCAAAATATACTTTGTAAAATACAGACCATAAATAGCCTTAAGACACTTGAGGGTTACTTACACGCTAAAATGGGTCTGCTGCAAATCAAAGAGAAAATACAAAAATTTAAAAATAAATTCTTTGTATTTAGAGCCTTAACATTACAGTTAATGTTGGGCATGGTGGTATGCACCTGTAGTAGTTACAGAACTTAGGAGGATTGCCATGAGTTCAGGTCCAGCCTTGGAAGCAGTAAGACCTTGTCTCAGAAAGAATTAAAGTTAAGGATTGCAGCTTGAATTATCTCTACAGAGAATTATATTCAGGGTTTTAAGTAAATTATGAATAAACTTTTTGGAATACCTTATATTTATAATTTGGGACTTTCTCTACAGCTAAATGTGGTTTATTTTACATATTATGGTAGGATGGGCATCTTTAATCCAAAATGTTCTAAAATCTGAAATATTCCAATATCCAAAACTTGTTGAGTTAGCATGATGCCACAGGTGAAAATTCCATAGTTGACCTTCAGTGGAGGTCACAGAATGCAGGTTTACTCAAATATATAAATTTACCCCCAGGCTACGTGTATGAATTTTGTTTAGAATTGGGTCCATTTCTCAAGATAATTTTATCATTATATACAAATGTTTCAGAATCCTACATCTAAAGGAATTTGGTTCTAAGCATTTTGGATGAGACTCTCAACCTGCATTACATATTTTCTTGAATAGTGAAGAGCATCCTAGTCAATGACATTGTAAGATAAGCAGAATTAATTTTTTATGATGAGACCTATTTACTCACACGGTGTAATACTTCCCTGTTTTCCCATTTAGTTCCTGGATGAAATTTCATCTACAGAAACTAAAGAGTCCAGTGGTTCAAGTGAGCCTGTACACCTGAAAGAAGGGTAACTTAAGTTAAGCCTGAAAGTTGTGTTTCAGTGTAGACATTAAGTAAGTACAGAACATGGATCTGACAGTGAAAAAATTTGAGTTTTGTTCTGTGCCAGAACTTCCTAAGTTCCATAGTCAGGTCAGTTCCCCTCACTGTCCTGTAAGCTTCATCTCATGAAGTCAAGACTCGCTGTCTGTACAATTCCAGTGCTATTCTGAAATTGTATGAGGGAATTACTAGAGTACTTTCAAGCATTAATAGCACTATTGAGCTTTAAAGAAGAGTGGTTATTACTAGAAATTAATGGGTTGGGAATAACTTTATTTAGCATAGCATGGTCTAAAAATATTACATTAAAGAATTTATTCCCTTAATATGACCAAAATAAATACAAGAATCATAGATGGCAAAGGCATTTTCATGTACTTAATATAATCATATGACTATGTCACCTAACATTGAGGGTCAATTCTTTGTTTCAGATGAACTATTTTAATTCTGTAGCTAAATGTTTGTTACTTTGGCAGTGAAATGTACAAAAGAGCTCAGGGAAGAACACGGATTGGAAAAAAGAATTTCAAGAAACGATGGTTCTGCTTGACGAGCAGAGAGCTCACCTACCACAAACAACCAGGTAGTTGTGTTTATGCTTATTGTGGCTTTACTCTGCTGGTTCTCACTGAAGATTTTTTTTCCTTTTTAATATGCCTGTAGTGGATCCTTCTACAGTGTTAATAGTTTGTAGCTTCTCACCATGATACACATACAGAAAGACTGAAATAGATTCTTGACAAGTGACACCATAAAAACTACATTTTTCTCAATGTTAAAATTCTTCTATTTCAACTGGGTATAATGGTGCACTCCCTCGGGGGACAGAGGCAGACGGATTTCTATGAGACAGGGGCCAGCCTGGTCTACATTGTGAGTTCCAGGCCAACCTATCTTAAAAAAAAAAAACTATTTTTTTAAAAAATATTTTAATATTTGGCTTCTCTCGGAGCCAAATTATTAGGATTCAGTATCTAATAAATGAAAATTATTTCTGTGGTTTGTTGGAAAATATCAGCTTTTCAAAGCCTTTGTCTGCATTTCACATATATAATAAACTTCTTATGGGGTGCTGCTTTTATCACATTGCATAATAGACACTAAAGCTACAGCAAAGCAGCTGGACTTTGTAAGTAAAGCAGCATAACCAATGGAAGCAGGAAGGTTCACGCTTACCATCGTAAGTCTGGCAACCACAAGCATTAACATGCCATGGTGTTCAGTCAGTTTTTGAAGTCCATGAAATCTGGTAGCTAAATATCTGCTGAGAAAGCTTCTGCTATTAATTCTACAATGATGATGTACATATCTGATATAGGGTACTTTGAAGAGAGTGCAGAGTGTGTCACTGGAGAGTCCTGAATAGTATTATGATGGGGGAGTACTTTAAAGAGGTGGTGTCTCGTGGGCTTAAGCATTCACCTCCCATGAGCCTCCCAAATAGCTGGGACTGCTGGCATGTACCACTGCATCAGCTGAGAAAAAATTTTTTTGTTAATAATGTTTTTAGGAGCAGCTTAACCAGAATGACTATGTGTGTCCAAATACACTAGTGAAAAATAAAAAGCAAAATGTGTTTCCCCCAGATGATTTGTTAGAAAGTATGTATATGACTACTCTATAGGTAGTGGGCTGTGTACTTGCCTTTCCAATGGTTTAAAGCAACTTTGAATGTTTTGGAATTCTAGCTTATATGGAATTCTATAAATGGTCTCATGTATGGATAGCATAGCTATTAATTATGGTTATATTAATAATAAAACTAAACTTCAAGTTTAGTCATTTTCTATGAATAGATGAATTATTTCTTCCTCAGTTAAAGCAGTAAAGCAGTTTTTTAATTTATTTTTTTGTCTTTTTGAAACAGGGTCTTCCTATATCCCCAGCCTGCCTGGAACTCACTATGTAGACCAGACTGACCTTGAATTCACAGAGATCACCTGCCTCTGCTTCCCAAGTGCTGGGGCTACAGGTGTGCGCCACCACACCCAGTAGTAAAGCACTTTTTAATACAAACCAATATTCTAAAGTTTATTTAGGTTTATAATCTTTTTTAGGTTAGATGATAGGCATGGTACCTATTTTCTAAGAAACACCTACAAATATAGACCCAAAACTTTGCATATAAAGAGCTCATGAGCCCCAAATATACCTAGTAGTTCTCAAGTTTAGTCTCTCTGCTATCCAAATAATTTTAAAAGGATAAAATTCTATAGAATTAGGCTACTGTAGCCATTAAAAAACAGATATAGGGCCGGGCGTGGTGGTGCACACCTGTAATCCCAGCACTCAGGAGGCAGAGGCAGGCAGATCTCTGTGAGTTCAAGGCCAGCCTGGTCTACATAGTGAGTTCCAGGACAGCTGGGGCTACAGGGAGACCCTGTCTCAAACTTTAAGACCAAAAAAAAACCCCAGATATATTGGGGCTATGTTGTTTTTATGTTGGAGGAATTATATATAAGAAGTTTTGAGATTACATCCCAAAGTTATCAGTGAACATGCTTTTTGTTTTAACTATTTTGATGGATTTTTTCTAAAATGTATTACATGCTTTCCTACCTTCTAAAAAAGAATTCATTGAACGTAAGTTAACATTTTCTCATTGACTTGGGGCTGTCATTGGTAATGTTAATTATGGTATATAGTACTCTAATTTATTGACATTTTCAGGGTTTTACCTAAGGGTGTATGCAGCTCTTCACTCCAGCTAAGTGTCTTAGGCTACTGTGCTTTCTGTGCTGCTGTGTTTGCTTTATACAGTTTATATCTCTCTTAGTGAGGCTGTCTTAAGTTTCTTATGTTGTTAGTGAAAGTGTCATATTCCCATCCCCATCATCAGCCTTCATTTCTTATTGCTAATGTGCTGTGACTGGGGTGCCAGGGCTGAATTTGCTAAAATCATGCATAAGACCAACAGGCTTTGATTGAAAATGCAAGGATATCCCCTATAACTAAAGTGCACAGGCTTTGCCTTGCTGGTTGTTGCGCAGAAGTTTTGCTTACTTCCTGTTTCTTAGCTGTTTCCTTAATAGTCTGAGTTACTAATTATTTTCTGTTGCTTACAGTTACTATATAAATTTTACTGTACACTAAATTTTAGTGTCCGAATGCCTTCCAAATTTCCTGTAACATAATTGTAAATTGTCATCTTTCACTTAATCTTTGTGATAGATGATAGTACTTTGAATTCACTTCCCAATTCACTGTTAAAAAATAATTAATAGAATTTTCTCAGTTTTAAATAATTGTCTTCAATAAGTCATTGATACCCACTTACGTAATTGCTAAGAAGCAATAGTAAGTAACTGGTACTGAGTACAATTATGTGTGACAAATGTGTATTATCAGATGCATAGCTATTGGTCATTGTTCCTTTGACAGCTTTTTATAGCTGTGTGCTTATCATTATGATTTTAAATTAATGTAGTATCATCATCCTCTACAAAAAAACATGGTTGAGTGATGGCATCAGATAGTTACTGATATTCCTCCTTCTTTGTGTTTCATCCACCCTCATTTTTTGTGTTCGCTATGTATGATGACACCAGACTAGCTTTGTAGTTCCTTTAACTCACACTGTGAATGTTCATGGTTCTCGTGTGCTCTACACAGAAATCTCTTTCCTTCTTCATTCTGCAGTATGATGTCCTATAAGCCTCAGATCAAGTGCCAGCTCTTCATGGAAGTCACTTTAAGTCTCTAGCTACCTCAGTTTAGCTATTCTCTTTACTATATGTTTTTTAGCTATCTTAATGATAAAATCTAGCACTATGGTCATTCTTTTGTCTTATCTCTTTCCCTGGTCTTTAAGATCCTCAATGGTAAATATCATCTTAATGACATAAAAGCATTAGCTGGGCAGACATTTAATCCCAAACAAAGGCAGGTGGATGTCTGGGAGATCAAGGCCAGCCTGGTCTACAAAGAGAGTTCCAGGCCAGCTGGAGCTACAGGGAGATCTTGTCTCAAAACAAAACAAAAACAAAAAACAAAAGGCATTTAGTAAAGGTTCTTCAAAGAATACCAGGTCTTCCAAATACGCTGTCACCTGAATTACTTTAAGAAACACTGCCCAGGGCTGGAGACATGGGTCAGTGATTAAGAAGAACACTGTTTTTGTAGAAGACCAGGTTCAAATCCCAGCACCCACCCACATGTCAGTTAACAACTGTCTGTAACTCCAACTCCAGTTCCAGGAATCCGATAGCCTCTTCTGTCCTCCATGGGCATTTCACTACAGGGGTGCACTTACACACATGCAGGCAATACATGCATACACATAAAATAAAAATAATAATTTTTTAAAAAAAGAAACACTGCTCTAGATTTCTGAAACCTTCACCACTCACACTAATAAGACTTTTAATAAATCCATCTTTCAAATATTGTTCAATAAAATTTGATTCAATATTGTCTGCTTTTTTGAGACCTGTTATACATAGATCCTTGCAGACAGTTTATATGATGTTCATAAATATAAATGCTCAATTCATTTCAGTTGACTTGACTTTTGCTCGCATGTGTTTTCAGACACAGGACTCTGCAGGATTTTTTTTCTTTAATATCTGAAGAACAAAATAAATTGTTGATTCAGTAATGCAGATATTTTCGGTTAAACATTTTATTGGATCCCTACTATGTTCTAGAGAGTGTTGCAGGTACAGGGAGAAGTGTTGCAGGTATAGGACATGCCAAAATCCAGGCCCTTATTACATGTGGAAGTAGGTAGTGATAGACAGTAAGTCAGAAGTTATAACAATAATATAGGGCACAGAGGCTTGCACTAGTTGGCTGCAAAAGGGAATAATGAAAACAGATCACATTCTGGATCTATTTTGAAGGTAGTACTTGGAGGATTTGTTAGGGGATTAAATGTTAGGAGTGGGAAAAAGACAAGTCAAGGATAATTTCAAGGATCTGAGCAAAAGCAACTTGAAGAGATGAAATTGCTTTTTAAAAACTAAGTGCATGAGGCTGGAGAGATGGCTCATCAGTTAAGAGCACTGGCTGCCCTTGCAGACAATCTGGCTTTGATTTCCAGCATCCACGTGGCAGCTAACCACCACGTGTAACTCCAGTTCCAGGGGATTCAGCACCCTCTTCTAACCTCTGAGGGCATGCACAACATGGGTGCCCCTATCTACATGTAGGCAATACACTCATACACGTAGAATAAATATAATAAATAAAATGTTTTTTAAAAGAAAGGAACAAACAAGTAGGGCCTGGAGAGATGGCTCAGAGTTTAAGAACACTTGCTGTTCTTCCAAAGGACTCAGGTTCAGTTTCCAACACCCACATTAGGTAGCTAACAACCAATTGTGACTGGCTCCAGTTCCAGGGGCTCTAATGCCCTCTGGGGCATTGCACGCATATGGTGCATTTACATACATGCAGGCAAAACACTCAAACACATAATATAAAACTAAATCTTTTGAAAAAAGAGAAGGCTTTAAGACCTTAAGTTAGGCAAAGATTTCTTACATATATATCATGTAAGATCAAATGTGTTCTGGATGGTATGGCCATAGATTCTTAACAGGGGTATGGTCCATGAAAGAAAATGTTGATAGATTGGAACATATC